AGGTTTTGGTCAGCTGGGTTCATATCAGGAGCTCCGGGAAGAACCTGCTTCCTGCTTATCCAGGCTGTTGTCAGTGCTGGGCCTCAGAGGCTACTATCCCAAAATATGGAGCTTTGAGCTGCTGGCATAAAGAAGCAGCCTCAAGGTCTTTCTGACCCCCCTCTTGTCCCTCTATCCTCTATCTCTCTCCAAAGCACAGTATGAAGCTGTTCCCTCATCTGCCTAAAGTCCAGACCCACCAAAGATGACAGTTTCCTCTGGCCCTTTCCCTGAGTTTTCATAAACTTAACCCATATCACAGGAAGGAAGGCTGGAGTCCGTCAACACACCTGGACAGACTTTTGTCACAGTCCATTGTCTTCTATTTCAGTCCCATTCAGTATTTTAAAGAGAATCATTTATAGTCACTGTCTGCTCTGTGGCCAAATAGACTTTGTCCCGGGCCATGGTATGTTCCCCAGGCCCACTGCATCCTCAAAGAATCACTGACTCCTACACCCCCCCTCTCCCCTACCCCTAGGTAGATGGGTTTATATACTCTGCACCCCAGTGGAAAATTGGGAAATCACTGTCTTGTGATTCCCTGTGCATCACCCCCTCCCAGCCTCATGTCCCTGCCTCCAGGGGGAAGCTGGTCAGAGTCCTCTCTTTTAAGGGCTCATGTGATTACATCAGGCTCACGGGGATCCAGGATTGTCTCTCTAAAGTTTACGACCCTAATCACATATGCAAAGTCCCCTTTTCCCTGCCACATAACATGTAACAGGCACAGGTCCTGGGGACTGAGAGTGGACATTTTGCCTTCCACAGATACCAGGAAGCCTTTCCCAGAATGAGGCAACTCTACAAATCTAATAAGGAAAGAAAGACCCAGAGCTGCAGTTCGATGAAGAGAACTTGATGGCAGGCAGTGAGGAGGGACAGGCCTGTTTGTGTGACAGAAGGGACCGCTATTCACCCATCCCTCTAAGAACATAAACACCCTCCTGGGGGTTGCCTCTGGGGAGGAGCCTGGGGGCAGGAGGGACACCGACTCTTCTCTGAATCAGCTTTGCGCCTCCTTTATGTTGTACCACATGCACGCATCACCTACTCGAGAATTATATACATACTTAAAATTTATGTATTAAAAAAATAAAACAGAGGGAAAAGACAAGACTTAGAAGCCAGTCCAGCTCAGGATCACATAGCTTGGGCTTCCTGGCAAGTAATTAATGGAAAGTCATTAAAATCACCCATGGGGCATTTACCTTTAAAGACCATCCCCCCACCCCCAGCTCAACCAGGAGTTTGCAGGCAGCTTAGCAGCATGTTATAACCACTCCCTAAATTATGGCTGAGGTTGACTTTCTGGTCTGATGAGAAAGTGACCACAGGCTTGCTTCTCGGCTGACCTCCCCTTGCTGGAAGATGTGGGCAGGTGTCCGGCAGCTGTGCCCAGAGTGTGTGCCCAGGGGGCCGCGGGTGACTGGGCCTGCCTGTTCTTTCCAGGAGTGTCAGTGGCACCTGGACTCTCCTCTGGGAAGGTGCCTGTCTATGGGTGGACATGTGACAAACTCAAGAATAAACTATTTAGCAGCTGGAAAACAGAGGAGGTGATGTGAAGAGGGACACAGCCTCAGGCACACGATGGCACTCGGTTGCTCCTGGCCTGCCCTTCTGAGTCATACCGAGTTGGAGTGACTCATGGGGAAAGATCATTAAACACAAAATCTCCTGCCAACTGCAAACCCACTCTAGTAAGGTAGAAGAGAAAGGAAACAGTTCTGTCATTGAAAAAGCACTACAGCAGAACGTGAGCACACACAGGCACCTGCTAAGGCAGAAAGGGCCCTGCCCGTGTGTGGCAGGGCAGGTGCGACCCCTGTGCACAGGTCCTCCCCGTACACAGGGGCAAGTCCTCAAGCAGGGGGGCCTGACGGCGCCATTTGTCACGACACCTTATCCTAAATCCTCCTGTGAACTGGGGTGACCATCTGTGCTAGGCTAATTGGCTTTATCTGAAGGAAAAATAAACTTCTCATATCTTTAGGACAGGAGGTAGTTTCAGAGCAACGTGCTGCCGGACTTAGGCTACTGTCCCCTGCAGGGCCAGGGCCGGGGCTCTGTCTCTCCAGATGCTTACATTTCAATGACAAGGATGGCTCCTAGATCCTGGAGAAAGACATCGCTGGCTTGTGAGCTGGCAGGAGGCTTCCTTAGCTTTTTGGAAGATGTGCGCACATCTCAAAGGGGCGGTGGAAGGATTTACAGTCACAAGTTCTCCGAAGTAAAAGCTGAAAGAAAGAGTTTCTTTCCCTTTTTGCATCAGGGAAAATTACTTTTTTTCTGTTTTTGATTCGTATTTAAAGGGCCAGTGGTGAGGCGTCTGTCTGTCGGTCCGTCCTCGCCGCAGCATCTATGAGCTC